TTTCGTGCGAAAGGGTTGCGCGGGACAAGTTGAAATCGCAATTTTACCTCAGTTTTTGACGATCGAACCTCATTTCGTGCGAAAGGGTTGCGCCGGACGACTTGCGACGGGTGCGCGCGGACAAGTTGAAATCGCAATTTTACCTCAGTTTTTGCCGATCGAACCTCATTTCGTGCGAAAGGGTTGCGCCGGACGACTTGAAATCGCAATTTTACCTCAGTTTTTGGCGATCGAACCTCATTTTGTGCGAAAGGGTTGCGCGGGACAAGTTGAAATCGCAATTTTACCTCAGTTTTTGACGATCGAACCTCATTTCGTGCGAAAGGGTTGCGTTTCGTGCCGTCTCGTTGGCACTGCCCCTGCTCCCGCCTTCAAGAGAGAAATAGAAAAGAAGGAGAGGCAAGAGGGCAAGAGGAGAAGGTGTGAGATGAGATGTAAAGATGAGAAGATGTGAGAAGATGTGAGAAGATGTGAGAAGATGTGAGAAGATGTGAGAAGATGTGAGAAGATGTGAGAAGATGTGAGAAGATGTGAGAAGGATGTGAGAAGATGTGAGAAGATGTGAGAAGATGTGAGAAGATGTGAGAAGATGTGAGAAGATGTGAGAGGATGTGAGAAGATGTGAGAAGATGTGAGAAGATGTGAGAAGATGTGAGAAGATGTGAGAAGATGTGAGAAGATGAGAAGATGAGGAGAAGATGGGAGGATGAGAAGATGTGAAGATGAGAAGATGTGAAGATGAGAAGATGTGAAGATGTGAAGATGAAAAGATGTGAAGATGAGAGGATGTGAAGATGAGAAGATGTGAAGATGAGAGGATGTGAAGATGAGAGGATGTGAAGATGAGAAGAAGTGAAGATGAGATGTGAAGATGAGAAGATGTGAAGATGAGAGGATGTGAAGATGAGAAGATGTGAAGATGAGAAGATGTTTTACAGACCCCCACTATTGGAAGAACCCTGCGCTCAGACGCTCTCGGGAAAAAAACACTTCCCCCTTTTCCCGCAATCTCCACCAAATTTCACCTGCGGGGCATGACCAGGGCCCTGTAGGCACTGTGGCCCCTGTGGCCCTTGTGGGCCCTGGGGTGGCCAGACCTCGTCGGATCTGCAGTGGAAGTCAACACTTGGGGCGACAATATCCACCTGCCCATGATGATGGGTGATTTTTATCATATTTATCATAATTATCATAATTATCATACTTATCATAATTATCATGCTTATCATAATTATCATAGTTGTCATACTTATCATAATGACCCTATTAATCATAATTATCATACTTATCACTAATGTTCATTGCTGTTCATTAGTTGTCATAACTTGCGAAAAATTGATCTATTATTTATATATATCATCACAATTTTGATGGGTTAACTTCCAACTTTGTATCCAACTTTGTATGATAACCATGACCATAATATTGATCAGGACAATGAGAATTGACAATAAGAATTGACAATATGTGACATGTGTGGGTAAATTATAATATTTCACTAATCTGACATAAGACCATTTGGTGCTGATTCCCCTTACCCACCATGATTCCAGTGCCGTCGCAATGAGGTCGTTACAATGTACCCAGATATGCGTGTCTGTGACATGCTACAGAAACAGCAGAAACATGGACTACAACTACAACCAATTAATTCTGGGGTGAAATCAGCCACTGATGGAGCATTGACCTTTACCCATCTGATTTCTTAGGTTAGATTGCACACTCTCGAACTCCTCCAAATACTCAAAAAACACCAAAAGCTTGCGATAGCCAGTTAGATCCTCTTGAACCCGGGAAAAAACTGTAATGGGGTGAACCGGTAAACCCAATAATAAGCCTACCATTTGGGATGGTTTATACTTGGGGGTTTGCCACATTTGATTGTTGAAGCGGGAAACACCGGTGCCACCGCTAAGAACCCCACATTCCAAGGAGCTTGAGCCTCAGCACCATTGAGCTGGATTGAAAAAATGGCAAGGTTCGATTGATAACCTTGTTCGCAGATATATATATGTGTGTGTGTATAATATATATATATGTGTATAATATATATATATATTATATATATTATATATATTATATATATTATATATATTATATATATTATATATATTATATATATTATATATTATATATATATATTATATATATATATGTGTATAATATATATATATATATTATATATATATTATATATTATATATTATACGTATATAATAATTATATACATGTGGGTTTCCAAAAATGGTGGTACCCAAAATTGGATGGTTTATAGTGGAAAATCCTATTAAAATGGATGATTTAGGGGTACCCCTATTTTAGGAAAGGGTAAATCATAATCATTCACTAACCTGAAATAAGGCTATATGGGGATAATTCCACTAACCATGATTCCAGTGAGGTCGCAGTGAGGTTGCTGTAATTTAGCCAGATATATCGCTGTGTCTGAAAATAGGGCACCCCCAATTCCAATGGATTATGATCATTGTCCCAGAAAATGACAAACCCATACGGCAATGTTGGGGATTCAACACACAAGAGGTACATTTAACCATCAAAAAAAACTAGAAAAAATACGTGTTGCCCAATGCGCGGAATGGAAATTGGTCTATCCAGACATGAAGAGTGCCCGATACATAGCAATTTGAGCAGTATGTGTTACAACAGAGCTGACCCGTTTTGCAATTCCATCCGCTGCAAGGCAGCAAACAGGACCCCAGCTTTGCGGGTCTGGCGCAAGGCCAGGCCCAAGGAATCTATCTGCTACATCTTGAAACTGCCGCTGGGCGCTTTTCGTTCCACTGGGCCCAAAGCCGGGCCCATGGAGTCTATCTGTTATACGGGACTTGAAACTGCCGCTGGGCCCAAACCCGCCCCCCGGAGTCTACACGTCTTGAAACTGCTGTTGGGCACTTTTCGTTCCACTGCGCCAATGGCCGGGCCCAAGGAGTCTATCTGTTCTTGAAACCGCCATTGGGCCCAAGGCCGGGCCCAAGGAGTCTATCTAGCACAGGTCTTGAAACTTCTGTTGGGCTCGTTTCGTTCCACTGGGCCCAAGGCTGGTCACAAGGAATCTCTCTGTTACGGGTCTGAAACTGCCGCTGGCCACTTTTCATCCACTGGAATGGGCCGAAGGCCGGGCTCAAGAAGTCTATCTGCTACGCGTCTTGAAACTGCTGTTGGGAACTTTTCGTTCCACTGGGCACAAGGCCGGGCCCAAGGAATCTATCTGTTACGGGTCTTGAAAATGCTGTTGGGCACTTGTTGCTCCACTAGGCACAAGGCCGGGCCCAAGGAGTCTTCTGTTACAGGCCTTGAAACTTCTGTGTCGTACCACTGGGCCCAAGGCCGGGCACAAGGAATCTATCTGTTACGGGTCTGAAACTGCCGTTGGGGCACTTTTCGTTCCAATGGGCCGAACGTTGAAGGCGCTCAAGGAGACTATCTGCTACGGGTCTTGAAACTGCTGTTGAGCACTTTTCGTTCCACTGGGCCCAAGGCCGGGCCCAAGGACCTTATCTGTTATACAACTCTTGAAACTGCTGCTGGGCACTTTTCATTTCATTGGGCCCAGGGCGGGTCCAAGGAATCAATCACTTCTTGAAGCTGCCACTGGGCCCAAGGCCAGGCCCAAGGAGTCTATCTATTGCGGGTCTTGAAACTGCTGTTGGGCACTTTTCGTTCCACTGGGCACAAGGCCGGGCTCAAGGAGTCTATCTGTTACAGGTCTTGAAACTGGGCACTTTTCGTTCCACTGGGCCCAAGGCCAAAGGAATCTATCTGTTACGGGTCTAGAAACTGCCGCTGGGCCCAAGGCCAGGCCCAAGGAGTCTATCTGTTACGAGTGCATATAAGATATTCCGTGATATTCCTGTATGCCGTGTCGTGCTTGCTCTGGTTTTTTGATGTTCTGAGCCAGTTCAATCCATGCCCCCCCCTTTAAAGGGGCGTTGGCGGCACCAGGGCGTTAGGCCTTTTATTTCCTGATTAGTTCCCTATGTTTTCCCTGTTTTTCCCATTTTTTCCCCTATGTTTTCCGAATGACTTCCTTTTCTTCCCTACATTTCCTATATTGCCCCCATTACTTCCTTATTACTTTTTCTTGTTATGTCCCTTTTACAGTATTTCCCTAGTTTTTCCCTATTGTTTCCTTTCTATTTCTTTATTGTGTCCCTAATATTTCGCTATTATTTCCCAATGTTTTCCCTACTATTTCCCTATGGTTTCTGTTCGTCTTCCCTATTGTTGTAACCATTGTTTCCCTATTATTTCCGTATTATTTCCCTATTATTTCGCTATGTTTTCCCCAGTTTTTCCCTATTATTTCCCCAATATTCCCTTATTTTTCCTATTATTTCCCCATTGTTTTCCCTATTATTTCTCCTAGATGTATTTTTGCTAGGATCTCATCAACCAGATTTTCGGCCACAAACTCCAAAAAACCATGGAGTCATGTCATCAAAAGTCCTGTCTGGATTTCATCATCAATCATTGTGCTTCCCTGATCTGATCAGTTGGACTGCCACTCTGAGGGGCGCACCGACATCAGACTTGACAAGGCATTGGGAATCACATTGGCAGAAATTGATGGTTCTTTTTTTGGCCTAAAAAGCTGCAGCATTTTTAGCAGTTCCCCAAAATGATCCAAGCTCAAAATCCGAGTGCCACCAGGGCGCCCCTTCTGGGTCATCCCTCAGGGCGTTCCCCCTTTGAAATAGCCATGGCCATATAAGTAGCATTAAATAGCCATGGCTGGGGGGGATATACCCCATTTTCAGACACCATATGTTGCGAAATCACACCTCTTGCTGCTGGGTCATCTTCCAATCAGCGTAATGATGCCATGTCCTGAGATGAATGATTTCACCCTGCAAAAATTCAACATCAACCAACCCCTCCAAAGCTTCCGCCAAAGGCATAATACTTCGAGTCTTCCCCAAGCCATGGGAAATTAGCCACTGGGCAGTGTCCACTTCCGATCAGACATCCTGTCGCACCATCTTTTCAAGCAATCCAACAAAGCCTCTGTCCAAGCGCAGCGTTTCAGCCGGCGTTTCAAAGCGACACACGCCACCGGTAAATTCTCGCGACAGGCTCAATCCGCAAAGACCTGTCGGACCATCTGCTGCAGAGAGCTTCCAATGTCAAATCAAAACTAGTCATTGATAACGACTGTCACCAACGTCTTGGAAAAGTCAAACCACTCTGGACAATTGCATATATATATATTGATGATGATATATGTAGGGAAATGCATGTCTTTGCATGTCTTTGCTATTTTGGGGACCAACGGTCCACCAATTGATGACCCCTGCTACTTGTCAGCTGTTCGATCCACATCAACGTCCACGACGTCCACATTTCCCCTGTGCGCGCCTTCAAGACCAACACCACAAGGGCACAAACTCCCATGCTGAGGCTCGATATCTCAGGTCCAGGCATGGTGATGAGCCTTAGCGAAACTCATGGAAACTGGAAACAGATGCTGGTTTTAAAGCCCCTGAACTCACCAAAAAAGATATGGGTTTGAGGAAAATGAGGAAATGAAGTGACACTTAATTTTAATGGACAATCATGGACAACCAAGGCCATGTACATGGGATTATATAACCACCATCAAAGGCTTGCGACGCCCATATTGTTTGGGGGGAAGTCGTACCATTGGGCACCCTTAGATTTCCATTGTGTACTGCGGAAAATCTGGATTTTTTCCAAATCGTGAGGGTACCCCCTGCACCCCGGAGGGGATATTTGGGGCTTCTAAGGATAATGATTTGAGGAATATGAAGTACTGTGGGAAGGAAGGTACATCGAATTCATCCACATCCCACCAAAACTGAGACAACGGGCAATTGGAGACGAGCAACCAACCGGATGCAGGAAGAACATATTTAAATTCGGCAATCGGATTGTGCAGTGACATGCAGAACAACATTGAACAAAAATCACGGAAGAACCAACAAGAATACGAGATGTAGAATACGAGCGATTTGCACCACCAATTCGGGTGTTTTCATTCATGTCTCAAGAATGGGACACCCACGGATCCGAAAACAATCGTCAAGTCGTCAACTCAGTTTTAACTGTACCTCCTTACTTAATAGAAAAAATATACCTATAATGATCCATAATGATCCATATGTATTTGATGGTTAAACCCCCTAGCCTGACTAGTCTCGACATCCTGCGACCGACTAGTCAGTCCGGGAGTGGCACCCAAGCGCTGAAGCCACACTGAACCTGGAAGGTAGATACAGATCTGTATCAATTCATAGCTCTTAGGTTTTTGGTTTACTCTTCCAGACCTTTAAAAACTTTAGCTGTCACTGGGTCTCCCAAGATAAATCTGGATAAATGATCATTCACTTCACCTGAAATGTGCAGATATGCTGGGATAGCCCAATCCTACCCATTGATGCGTCCAGCACACCCAAAATCTCGCTTTGTCCAATATGTATATAATATATATATATATCTATCTATCTATATATATATGTCCCCGGTAATTTAACATAGCTATTGAACATCACCATGTTTAATAGGTAAATCATCTGTAAATGGGTCACGCCCATCCATCTTCCATAATGCCATTAGTTATGTTAAAATTACCAGCAGGTTAACCAGAAGGTTAAGCAAAATCCGGCGGATTGTTTTGCATCATTTTCCCCGCTTCGATGGCAGATGTTCAGGGGCCAACCGTATAGCCATCTGGGCCGCCCGGACATCATCATGGTCTTCGCAGTCTCTTCATCTTGGTCGCCTTGGCGCTTTCCCCAAATGAGGTATATCATATCTGTATATGGCCCAGCATCTGATGGTCCTCCCCATGTATAAATATATATGTATATATTATTATATATATATACAATATATATATACACATAAAACATGTTATATTATATTATATTATATTGTATTGTATTATATTGTATTGTGTTATATTATATTATATTGTATTATAGTATATTATATTATATTACATTATATAATATTATTTTATATCATATATATTAAATCATGTTATATTATCTATATATATATATTACATTACATTACGTTACGTTACGTTACGTTACATTACGTTATATTATGTTAGATTATATTATATTATATTATACTATATTATATCATATTATATTATATTATTATATTATATTATATTATATAACATTATATATTGTATTATACTATATTAGATATATGATTATATTATATTATATTATGTTATATTATACATATTATTATATTATACTATATTATATTATATTATATTATGTTATGTTATGTTATATTATATTATCTATCTATCTATATATATATTATATCATATTATATTATATTATATTAGATTATATTATATTATATTATATTATATATTATATATTATGTATTATATTATATTATATTATATTATATTATATATATGTACATATATATATGTATATATATATGATACGTAGGTACCAGAATTGCCTAGTTCATAAAAAGAAACTGGTTGATAATGATACAAACTCATCATTATGGGTCAAAATGGTCAAGCATGGGCCAAGCATGGGTGTATAATCAAGAAACATATGGCATTTTGACCCAAAACTTTTATTCAAAATACATAGCTATTGAAAATGGCCATGTATAGTGGATTTTCCCATTAAAAATTGTGATTTTCCATAGTTATGTTAAATTACCAGAGGGTAAATGGGGATTTGAGTGGTTATACCGTTTTGTAATCCACCCTGTTAAGTGGCACCCTGGGTCAAAATGATCGCATCCTCGGAAGGAACTTCGGCCCGGTGATTCACCGGATCCTCCGTTTTTGTGATGACCAGGTTCTAAGTCTGAACTTCTGGAGACCCAAAAAAAAGGGAGGATCAAATGGAATAAACTTTCAGATGGTCTATTCTATTCTATTCTATGTTTACCCATGAGAACATCAGATGTGCACATGGATGGTCTATTCTATTCAAAGGCTGGGTCCATTTTCAAGTCGAGGCACGGAGCAAGTTTCGACGATGGATCCGAAAGCACAGCCACAGGGATTGCGGCAAGACGAAAATGGTGGCCACGCAACCATAGCACCTGCCAGCTGTGCCAGCTGTGGCTGGTTTCGTTGGACCATGTTGGACCATGTTGGACCATGTTGGACCTATCCCAAGAGACATGGTGTTTAAAAATCGGGAGATGTGTTGAAAAATCATATGAAGTCTGGGGGTCAAAATGTTTGGGCAACTGCTTCCAGCATCTTCATGCTTCTTTTCAACATTTTTCAACTAAAAGCAGGTTGGCCCCTCTTCAGTTAATGTGGAAGTCAGCTGATCTGCGCCTTCCCGAGATCTCACCGCTCTCCAAATCGGAAGAGAACCCCAAAAACCCAAACGAAAACCACGGGGCTCGACATGGCGAAGGCACCCGTAGATCCAACCAGCCACAAGGGCCAAGACATGGGCAGCGGCCAGTAGCACTTTGTAGTAGACCAAAGATGCCTGCAACGAGAGCCCTCCGGGGCCCTCCGGGGCCCAAGGGGAGGCTCAACAGTGGGATGGTTGACCTACGGAACAAACGGCACAGAGGAACGACTGGGATGATCCACCAAAATCCGTCGAACTGAACCGCTTGTGTTTTATCACATAAAAAAATGCCATGTTATACAGCGTCATCATCACTTCTCGAAAAGTGATTCACTAACATTACGCACAGACCCTGTGGTTTGCCCAGACTGCAACATTGAGGATTCCCTGTCGTCGAACGTGATTCAGTGCGTATACACAGTGTTTTCTGCTTTCGGATGCAGAGTTTTCAGGGTTTTAGGGTTTAGGGTTTTAGGGTCAAGACACGCGCAGTGCGAGATATACCATCATCGGTTCACCCCACCCGCCCTTGGTCCCATGTCATACAGGCTTTCTTTCCCTATGTTCTTTCTCTCCAATGCGTTCTTCCTTCCATATCTTCGGTTCTTTCTCCTTGCAGGTCTCCCCCCTCCTGCTCCCCTTCATTCTATCTGCTAGAAAGAGAATGCGAGAGAAAGCATTCTATCTGTGAGAGAGAGAGAGAGGGAGAGAGAGAGAGAGAGAGATAGAGACAGAGAGAGAGAGAGGGAGAAGGAGAAGGAGACGGAGAAGGAGAAGGAGAAGGAGAGGGAGAAGGACAAGGAGAAGGAGAAGGAGAAGGAGAAGGAGAAGAAAACGGAAAAGGAAAAGGAAAAGGAAAAGAAAAGAGAGAAAGAGAAATAGAAGGACAAAGAGGGAGAGAAAGAGAGAGAAAGAGAAAGATGGAGACAGAGACGGAGATCCAAACCGAAAAAGAAAAAGAGAGAGAAAGAGGGAGGGAGAGAGAAAGAGAGAAAAAGAGGAGGAGAAGGAAAAGGAGAAGGAGAAGGAGAAGGAGAAAGAGAAGGAGAAGAAGAAGGAGAAGGAGAAGCAGAAGGAGAAGGAGAAGGAGAAAGAGAGAGAGAGAGAAGGATAAAGACGGAGAGAGCGATAGAGAGAGAAAGAGAAAGAGAGAGAGAGAAGAGAAAAGAGAAAAGAGAGAAAAAGAAAGAAGAAAAGAGAGAAGGAAAGACAAAAGAAAGGAGAGAAGAAAAGAGAGAAGAAGAGAGAGAAGAAAAGAAAGAAGAAAAGAAATAAGAAAAGAGAGAAGAAAAGAAAGAAGAAAAGAGAGAAGAAAAGAGAGAAGAAAAGAAAGAAGAAAAGGAAGAAGAAAAGAGAGAAGAAAAGAAAGAAGAAAAGGGAGAAGAAAAGAGAGAAGAAAAGAAAGAAGAAAAGAGAGAAAAAAAGATAGAAGAAAAGGAAGAAGAAAAGACAGAAGGAAAAACAAAAGAAAGGAGAGGAGAAAAGAGAGAAGAAAGGAGAGAAGAAAAGAGAGAAGAAGAGAGAGAAGAAAAGAAAGAAGAAAAGAGAGAAGAAAAGAAAGAAGAAAAGAGAGAAGAAAAGAGAGAAGAAAAGAAAGAAGAAAAGAGAGAAGAAAAGAAAGAAGAAAAGAAAGAAGAAAAGAGAGAAGAAAAGAGAGAAGAAAAGGAAGAAGAAAAGAGAGAAGAAAAGAGACCCAAATAACAGAAAACTTGGAGAACCCATTGCCCTTGTCCGCGGAATATGCCCTAATGGTGTCTTGGTTAAGCCTTTGAAGAATAAGTTTGTTTCCCCAAAATTCCTTTTGGAAACAATCTGTCATTGAAAAGTAGAGATGCCGCTCATGGCTGCAAAGGTAAAACCCTATTCGACGTGCCGCCCTCATCTTCTGATGTTCTTCCCAATTCTTCATCTTAGCAATGATTGAACGTCAGGTCGAATGAACATGGATGGTCACAGCCAGTGGAAGGGAACTTTGGCTGAAATCTGTCGATTGAAATGTGTCACTTCAATATGTTTTCATGGTCCTACTTCGCCAATTGTTTTGCTAGGGAAAAGTACATGAAATCCACCTCTATGCTACAAGAGAGGAGACGTACTCAAACAAATCACGACAGCAATATGTGCCCGAATCAACTTGCCCAAGTCATGCACCAAACTTGCAGCGCGTACCCACTCAATCTGACACAGCTTCAAGAATATTCACATTGCAGACGGTTCAAGCAAAGCATGAAACAAGCTACGTGATAATACTAGATTCTCTATGCTGCGCACACTGACAACCCAAGGACTGCCGCATGCAAAAGTGGCGAAATATATATATAGTTTGTTTGTTTGTTTGTTTGTTTCTTTGTTTGTTTGTTTCTTTGTTTGTTTGTTTGTTTGCTTTTGTGTTTGCTTGTGTGCTTGCTTTTGTGATTGCTTGTCTGTTTGCTTGCATGTTTGCTTGTATGTTTGCTTATGTGTTTGCTTTTGCGTTTGCTTTTGCTTTTGGATTTGCTTGTGTGTTTGCTTGTGTGTTTGCTTGGGCGTTTGCTTTTGCGTTTGTTTTTGCTTTTGGATTTGCTTGTTTGTGTCTTTGCTTGTGTGTTTGCTTGTGCGTTTTCTTTTTGCTTTTGGGTTTACTTGTGCGTTTGCTTTTGTGTTTGCTTGTGTGTTTGCTTTTGTCTTTGCTTTTGTGTTGGCTTGTCTGTTTGCTTGTGTGTTTGCTTGTGTGTTTGTTTGTTTGCTTGTTTGGTTGTGTGTTTGTTTTTGTCTTTGTTTGTTTGTTTGTTTGTTCGTTTGTCTCTTTGTCTGTTTGTTGTTTGGTTGTTTGGTTGTTTGGTTGTTTGGTTGTTTGTTTGTTTGCTTTTGTTTGCTTTTGTTTGTTTCTTTGTTTCTTTGTTTGTTTGATTGTTTGTTTGTTTGCTTGCTTGCTTGTTTGTTCGTTTGTTTGTGTGTTTGCTTGTGTGTTTACTTGTATGTTTGCTTCTGTGTTTGCTTGTGTGTTTGCTTTTGCGTTTGCTTTTGCGTTTGCTTTTGTGTTTGCTTTTGCTTTTGGATTTGCTTGTGTGTTTGCTTGTGTGTTTGCTTGTGCGTTTGCTTTTGCGTTTGCTTTTGCTTTTGGATTTGCTTGTGTGTTTGCTTGTGTGCTTGCTTGTGTGTTTTCTTTTTGCTTTTGGGTTTACTTATGCGTTTGCTTTTGTGTTTGCTTGTGTGTTTGCTTTTGTCTTTGCTTTTGTGATTGCTTGTCTGTTTGCTTGTGTGTTTGCTTGTGTGTTTGTTTGTTTGCTTGTTTGGTTGTGTGTTTGTTTGTTTGCTTGTTTGGTTGTGTAATTGTTTTTGTTTTTGTTTGTTTTTTTGTTTGTTTGTTTGTCTCTTTGTCTGTTTGTTTGTTTGGTTGTTTGGTTGTTTGGTTGTTTGCTTTTGTTTGTTTGTTTGTTTGTTTGTTTGTTTGTTGGTGTGTTTGTTTGTTTGTTTGTTTGTTTGTTTGCTTGTTTGTTTGTTTGCTTGTTTGTTTGTTTGCTTTTGTTTGCTTTTGTTTGTGTGTGTGGTTGTTTCTTTGTTTGTTTGTTTCCATGTCTTGCAATCTCTGCGATGTGTGTGCACTTTTGAAACGAGAAGCAACTAAACTAAACTTTGATTTGAAAAGTCTTTTTGAAAACCCCTTGGTGGAACCCTCTCTCTACTCACTTCCCCTTTTGGTGGAAACCTGATTTGAAAGGTCTTTCTGAAAACCCCTTGGTGGAACCCTCTCTCTACTCACTTCCCCTTTTGGTGGAAAACTGATTTGAAAAGTCTTTCTGAAAACCCCTTGAACCCTCTCTCTACTCACTTCCCCTTTTGGTTGAAAACTTGAAACAAGTACAACCCCGTAACCACCCCTGTTCTTCTTGGAACACAAAACTTGGTAAAAAACAAAACTGTCTGTCATTAACTGTGTTCTTTCTTCAGTTGGTGGTCCCTGAACTTACAAGTTAGAAACACAGGTCAACCGTTAACACCCAATCCCCTCCAGGTCCTACACCCGAGACCATCCTCCTCACTCCAGCGCTTTTTGTCGAGGGCGTCGGACGCCGAGTGCTGGAAAAATGCCCCGCTTATGGTGGGGGGGGTGTTCCATCGGTCCCCCACCGATCTTAAAAACCCTCTCTTTTGGGGGGTGGCATGCAAAGAAAAAAACGAATTAAACTGATAAAGGTCTCTCGCGGAAAAAAATTAATTCGACAAAAAAATTTCCTCTATCGGTGCGAAGCCAGGCCCTTAAAATTTGGCGCTGGCGCACCGTCCCAGCTCTTATGGCTGGGATCTGTACCTGATAGCGTTCCGGCCACTCCGTGGCTGCTCGGAACGCAGCTTCTGCTGCGCCGTGTCCCAAAATGGCTTCCGCGCTCAAGACCGTCCACCGCGATGATCTTGGTAGCCATTCCCCGCCGTAGTGGTGCAAGACACCCACCTGAAAGGCAAGAAGCAACCCAACACCAAAAAAAAACAGGAACAAATGTTATCATCCCCACATAATTATACCCGAGATATATTTTCAGAGGGGTAAAAGGATATATTTCACTTGCCTACCTTTGTTGGGGGTCACAAAAAGAACCCAGCCGCAAACACAAACCACAAAACATTCCCAAAAACGCCTAGGCACAGCGGAGGAAGGCAATTGAAAAAACCAAGACTCGCAACAAAGTGGAACGGCTGAGGAAGAACAAAAGCCAGGGCCACCTGAAACAGGGTTGGAGATACAACCAAAACACCCAAACGCTACTTAAACCAGCTTTAAAACTTTGGTCTCAAAATCGTTCCCGTAAACTGACTAACTTAAAAACCGTTGTACCAGATTTCGCCCAGAACCATAAACCTCGTTAGATTTTTTTAATTAAAAATAAGATGTTGTTGAAACGCGTTTTTTTTAACGAAATTTGGAAGGCTTATTGGGTTTATGGTCTTCCTTTTGTGGGTTCATGGTCTGCCTCTTCTGGGTTCTTCTGTGTTCGGGGTCCAGAAGGCCCAGGGTCAGATTTGGCGCCGGACCCTTTAAAACAAGCTTTTTTTAAAGGAAAAATTTGCGTTTTGGAGAGCCTTGAAATTTGGAATTCTTAGGGTTGGGTTCGGGGTTCTGGCTTTTGAAGTTCTGGGTTCGGGGTCTTGCTTCTTCTGGGTTCGGGGTCCAGAAGGCCCAGGGTCCAGATTTGGCGCCGGACCCTTTAAAACAAGCATTTTTTGAAAGGAAAAAATCGAGTTTTGGAGAGCCTTGAAATTTTGGAATTCTTAGGGTTGGGTTCGGGGTTCCGGGTTTTGGAGTTCTGGGTTCGGGGTCTTGCTTCTTGTGGGTTTGGGGTCCAGAAGGCCCAGGGTCCAGATTTGGCGCCGGACCCTTTAAAACAAGCATTTTTTGAAAGGAAAAAATCGAGTTTTGGAACGCCTTGAAATTTTGGAATTCTTAGGGTTGGGTTCGGGGATCTGGCTTTTGGAGTTCTGGGTTCGGGGTCTTGCTTTTTTTTGGGTTCGGGGTCCAGAAGGCCCAAGGTCCAGATTTGGCGCCGGACCCTTTAAAATAAGCATTTTTTGAAAGGAAAAAATCGAGTTTTGGAAAGCCTTGAAATTTTGGAATTTTTAGATTTGGGTTCGGGGTTCTGGCTTTTGGAATTCTGGGTTCGGGGTCTTGCTTCTTGTGGGTTCGGGGTCCAGAAGGCCCAGGGTCCAGATTTGGCGCTGGGCCCTTTAAAACAAGCATTTTTTGAAAGGAAAAAATCGAGTTTTGGAGAGCCTTGAAATTTTGGAATTCTTAGGGTTGGGTTCGGGGTTCCGGGTTTTGGAGTTCTGGGTTCGGGGTCTTGCTTCTTCTGGGTTTGGGGTCCAGAAGGCCCAGGGTCCAGATTTGGCGCCGGACCCTTTAAAACAAGCATTTTTTGAAAGGAAAAAATCGAGTTTTGGAACGCCTTGAAATTTTGGAATTCTTAGGGTTGGGTTCGGGGATCTGGCTTTTGGAGTTCTGGGTTCGGGGTCTTGCTTCTTCTGGGTTCGGGGTCCAGAAGGCCCAAGGTCCAGATTTGGCGCCGGACCCTTTAAAATAAGCATTTTTTGAAAGGAAAAAATCGAGTTTTGGAAAGCCTTGAAATTTTGGAATTTTTAGATTTGGGTTCGGGGTTCTGGCTTTTGGAATTCTGGGTTCGGGGTCTTGCTTCTTGTGGGTTCGGGGTCCAGAAGGCCCAGGGTCCAGATTTGGCGCCGCGGACCCTTTAAAACAAGCATTTTTTGAAAGGAAAAAATCGAGTTTTGGAGAGCCTTGAAATTTTTGAATTCTTAGGGTTGGGTTCGGGGTTCCGGGTTTTGGAATTCTGGGTTCGGGGTCTTGCTTCTTCTGGGTTCGGGGTCCAGAAGGCCCAGGGTCCAGATTTGGCGCCGGATCCTTTAAAACAAGCATTTTTTGAAAGGAAAAAATCGAGTTTTGGAGAGCCTTGAAATTTTGGAATTCTTAGGGTTGGGTTCGGGGTTCCGGGTTTTGGAGTTCTGGGTTCGGGGTCTTGCTTCTTGTGGGTTTGGGGTCCAGAAGGCCCAGGGTCCAGATTTGGCGCCGGACCCTTTAAAACAAGCATTTTTTGAAAGGAAAAAATCGAGTTTTGGCAAAGTTTTAGATTTCGTTTCGGGGTTCCGGGTTTTGGAGTTCTGGGTTCGGGGTCTTGCTTCTTGTGGGTTTGGGGTCCAGAAGGCCCAGGGTCCAGATTTGGCGCCGGACCCTTTAAAACAAGCATTTTTTGAAAGGAAAAAATCGAGTTTTGGAACGCCTTGAAATTTTGGAATTCTTAGGGTTGGGTTCGGGGATCTGGCTTTTGGAGTTCTGGGTTCGGGGTCTTGCTTTTTTTTGGGTTCGGGGTCCAGAAGGCCCAAGGTCCAGATTTGGCGCCGGACCCTTTAAAATAAGCATTTTTTGAAAGGAAAAAATCGAGTTTTGGAAACCCTTGAAATTTTGGAATTTTTAGATTTGGGTTCGGGGTTCTGGCTTTTGGAATTCTGGGTTCGGGGTCTTGCTTCTTCTTTCTTCCGGGTCCACAAAGCCCAGGGTCCAGATTTGGCGCCGGACCCTTTAAAACAAGCATTTTTTGAAAGGAAAAAATCGAGTTTTGGAACGCCTTGAAATTTTGGAATTCTTAGGGTTGGGTTCGGGGATCTGGCTTTTGGAGTTCTGGGTTCGGGGTCTTGCTTCTTCTGGGTTCGGGGTCCAGAAGGCCCAAGGTCCAGATTTGGCGCCGGACCCTTTAAAATAAGCATTTTTTGAAAGGAAAAAATCGAGTTTTGGAGAGCCTTGAAATTTTGGAATTCTTAGGGTTGGGTTCGGGGTTCCGGGTTTTGGAGTTCTGGGTTCGGGGTCTTGCTTCTTGTGGGTTCGGGTCCGTCCTTTTGTGGGTTTATCCTCTGCCTTTTATGGGTTCGGGGTGGCTTCCTGTGGGTTTGGGGTCTTGCCTTTCATGTTGAGATTTTATCTAAGTTTCCAGAAAGCTTCCAGAAGCTTTGAAAAGGATCCAGAAGCACCCAGAAGGCTTCCAAAAGCTATCAGACGCTTCTTCAAAGCTCTATGAATATAAAAGAACAATAAAGAAAAGTTGATGGTTTTTAGCCTTGGGTTCGGGGTGGGTTCGGGGACCCTGAGGCAGACGAAAGGTATATTAAGGTTTAAATATACATTTGATATAATAGTTTAGGGTTCGTCGTCTGGTAAATACCAAAACACTGGCCCTGCGCAGGTCTTTGAGCATGTCGAAGGATAATATTTGAACTCCATTCTAACCTTGCGGGCAAACCATAGGGTCTTGCCGTAACATTAGATATAGATAACTTCCCATCTATTCATCATCACTTCCCATAACTTCTTCTTAGAGGATAATCATCACTAACCATTGATTCTGATACATCACCTGATTGCCCTCCTGTAAACTAACATACAGTAGCTGATGGAAAATCACCATGTTTAGTGGGTAAATCAACCATCAATGGTCATTTTCAATAGCTATTCTGATACATGTCCGTCCTAGTCATACGTATCAATGTTGTGGAATTGCCACCCAGTTAGTACCCCAAGTCTTTGGAGATCATCATCCCAAGTCACATAACATGGAAAAACATCGCCGGGCATTTCGCATATACCATTCATCAATCTCAAATGAGTCAATATGAATCATAATATGAATCAATAAATGAATTCATAAATGAATCCATCTGAATCTCAAAAAAAAATGTCGGAAGGGCCTCGGGTCCCAGGAGCACTGCCACAGTCCTGGCACCTGGCTATAGTTACATCTTAGAACTTGAGGTTAAGATCAATTAACCTAAAATGTAGGTTACTATAGTTACCAGCCCGGAATCCCTCTAGGATGCTGAATTCAGGAAATATTTTTTTACGATTTTAATATGGTTTTGAATACGGTTTGACGATATGAATTTGATATGCTTTGAATTTGGGGTTATGATTTCGATATGGTTTTGATACGGTTTTGATACGATTTTGATACGATTTTGATATGATTCTGATCCGGTTTTGATATGGTTCCAGTGAGCTGGCTTCAAAAAAAGAAACAGAAACAGCCCAGGGACAGGTTTTTGGTCGATTTGTCGAAGGTTTTTGTGGTTTTGACATGATTTTGATACGATTTTGATACGCTTTTGATACGATTTTGATACGATTTTGATATGGTTTTGATACGATTTTGGAATATTTTGGATATGGTTCGGATGGGTTGGCTTCAAATCACAAGTTTGACCCACATCAAGAATCATAACTGAAACCATATCAAAATCATAACTGAAACCATATCAAAATCATAACAGCAAAACCAAGACATAAACAAATCATAACAACAAATCATATCTGAAACGTATCAAAATCATTTTAAAAAAATTAGAAATAATAATAAAAACCTTCATCCTGTGTTCTACATCTATGGTTGATTACAAACTACTGTATCTATAGTTATACCATAGTTATCTATGATCAGTTCCAAGCCATCTGTGGGATAAGCCATAGTTACAAGATGTTATAAGATGTTAGTTACGATAATAATAAGCCATCATGTTACCATAACATGGTTATCCACAATCGTTATAAGCCATATTGTTACCATAACTACTATTTCCATATAGTTACTTACTATTGTTACCATAGGTAGAAGACATAGTTATCTATGGTTACCTAACTATGGCTTCTAGCTAAAGCTATCTAGATCCTTGAAGTAGATAGCTAACGTTGGTGCACATCACTTGGGCAAACCGTTTGGGGCCCTATTAGGCCTATTTGGAGGGTTCCTAAGTCATAGGAGTACCCCATTTCTCATCCATTTGTAGGTGGGATTTTCCCTTATAAACCATCCAGCTATTGGGGTAGCCCCAATTTAGGAAACTCAGGCTACTGGGCCGATTCGTGAATGGGCTTTGTAAAGCAACTTGTACCAGAGAGTTACTCGGCAATCATCCATAGTGACAAAGCCCCTACAGCATACTATCGATAAAATCCACTAAAATCGGAAAAAAAAGGGGGGGACGAAGTCATCTTCCCATTCCCACGAAAAAATTGGATTCTTTCAACTTCTACCTGCTGGTCGCGACAATGCCTAAGGCACTGACCCACCACCAAGCGGACTGATGCAGCCCCTCTTGGTCCATGGATAAGGTGTGAATAAGACCCCAGAAATAGCACATCAGGAGGAACCTCCAAAACAATGCCCGAAATCCATAGAAATCCCAGAAAATCCCAGTGCGATGATGGACTATCACTACCAGAAGAGTCGTCTTTGGGGTCCATGTCATCCATGTCCCATGTCATTTTTGGAGGTTCCATCTTAGTTTTCAATGGGATAAGGTAAAGTGCAGCCTGGAACTGCTTGGCAGTAGCTGCACATCGGCATGGTACGGATCCAAGGATCCAGTTCCAATGCCGCGTCTCAAACTTTAACAACTTGCCCTATCAAGGGCACGAATAAATCCACGCAGCTACGGCCAGTGGGACAAGCGGGAGCGGAGTTCCCAACTTATCCCGGGAAAAACTGACCACTGCGCCACGGCTCATGATGAGGAAAAGAAAGGTCAGTTGGAATCCTCCAATTTTCGGGGATTCAAAAAACTATATCCTTGCCCCAATCAAGTGTCTTTGAAAATCGTGGGATTTGGAAGTCAACACCAACACCAACTGATTCATTTTTGCCCTGGTCTCCCTCATTGAACTTGATTTCGATGCCCTGACCTTATCCAGCCAGAGCTATGTTTTTTCCTCATCACTGGACAGGTTGGGTATGTCCAAAATGGGCAAACACGCCATCACCTCAACCCAGCACATGTAAATTCGCTAGCCGTGCGTCTTTAGGTTTCCCTTTTGGGGTCCAATGAGGACTACTCTCTGTTAATTTAACATATCTATGACAAATCAGATTTTGTAAAAAAGGTAAATCTGTAAATGGTCCATTATCCATAGCTATGTTGGTTTAGAGGGTACCATCCAACGATATCCCCAATTGTTATTTTATATAAAGCCATACCCACGAACCGCCAACGTCTCACTGTTCATCTCACCAAATACGTCTGGCTCCTCTGCTCAGATCAAATAAAAGATGGGTTTCAACCCATCTGAAGAAAAGGAAAGTCCTTGGAAATAATCATCCTAAACATGCTTGAAACATAATCATATGTCTATATATATATATATATGTATAACTATATATATGTATATTTATATATATATATGTATTATTATTATTTGTGCTCTGCCCTGCACTTTTCTGCCGTGCTGCCAGTCGAAGGCTTTGATACAGAGACCATGGTCTCTCCTGTGAAACTTGTCAGCTTTCGTTTCAGCTGACCTTAAACATACCTTTCATGGTAGAAAGGATTTATCTCATTTCAACCTCACAACGCTTCATGGTAGAAGCGGTCACATTGCTTCATGGTAGAAGCCAAACCAAAGTCATTGGAATGCCCGAAGAAAAATTTTTTCAGCATTCCAGAGTCCACCTTTCCTCAGGGAGGGGCGGGCTTAGGGCCCTGTGTTGAGCCTAAAGACCAAGGCAGCACTAAAGTTAGGACAACCGCACAAACCGTTCTAAGAACACTCTTGTGCTCTGCCCTGCACTTTTCTGCCGTGCTGCCAGTCGAAGGCTTTGATACAGAGACCATTGTCTCTCCTGTGAAACTTGTCAGCTTTCGTTTCAGCTGACCTTAAACATACCTTTCATGGTAGAAAGGATTTATCTCATTTCAACCTCACAACGCTTCATGGTAGAAGCGGTCACATTGCTTCATGGTAGAAGCCAAACCAAAGTCATTGGAATGCCCCAAGAAAAAATTTTTCAGCATTCCAGAGTCCACCTTTCCACGGCCTCCCAGCGTAGCGCTCACCCACGTAGTGGGTCCAAAAAGTAACAAGATTTCAGCAAGGCTTGAGTCCTAGGTGAAAGCACCAAGCTGGGGAGGAAGCTTAAACCATCAGAGATATATACCCAGGCCACGCGGGATGATTCCCAGCGCCCACGAATCAATGCTGCCTCCATCGATTGGGTGCGTTGAAACAACTCCGTTGCTCCTCCACGACGGAGTGAATAAGGTCTAAAGCCGTGGCGCTCGAGGTCGAACACCTTGCAGATTGCATTAAAGCGCTTTCGGAAAGCAGCACCTGAAGAGGACCATAAAGGGAGTGCGGAGACTCCAAGTTGACGCTTTGCGGCCAAAACTGTTCTCAAGGTCTCCAGGGTGACAACGTCAGTGATGCTGATAGCTTCTGACGCAGCATTTCTCTTGCCAGACTTAGTAGACTTAAGCGAACAAATCCCACTGCTGGTACCCAGCAGAAAGTCTGCTGGCGTCAGCGCTAGCAATTCTCCTGTCCGGAGGAGGCAGTGAAACCCTAAAAGAAGGCATGCTGACATCTCTAAATTCCCAAGTATGGCTTCATAAGCCGCCAGACCTCGAACCAAACGCAAGGTCAGCGGCGGAGCCCTGGCTGGCAGTTCTAGTCTGCGCCATGTTGCAAAAAGTTTCCAAGCATGAGGCAGCCGCCGCTTCAGCCAAGGTTGAAAGAAGTGGAGGGCTGAAAGCCCATCGCCAATGGTCAGGGATGGTTCTCCCTGACGCCACATTAAACGGACCCATGCTGAGACCTGCTGGTCCAGGTCATCCTCATTCACTGCTCGTTCCACAAAGGGCAGTACCTTACGCAAGGCATTGTAGTATCGCTGTTGCGTAGCAGGGGTCAAACAAGCATCCTCAAGATTCAAGTGTGCCCTTTGTCGAGCTCGTTCTGCACGGGAAAATTTCCCAGCAACAAGCTTCACCATTTCACCAAGCACGGGACTGACGATCCGTGGGGTTCTCTGTAGACTCCACGTGCGCCAGTATCAGCGTCAACCCATGGCCCAACAGCAAGGCCGCCAGTCGGCGCATGACCCTTCGTAACTGCAAACTGGAGGTTCTCCCCTTACTAGCCACACTCATTGCAACATATGAGTCAGTTAAATGAAAGATGCGGCAATCCCCTTGATGAAACCGTTGTACTTGATGTTGGACACTCAAAAGAAGGGCTTCCATCTCTAAAACGTTTATATGAGCTTTTCTTTTCCAGGCCTGCCCAAACGCAGGCTCCCACTTCCACCAACTAGCTTGAGCCGATTGTCTCGGAAAAGCTTTTTGATTCATCAGTTCCCCCGAGCTGATGCGAACATCTGAACCTGTGTGGTTTGTACGGCGCAACAGGATCCTATTAAGCTTTTGGGGGTTTCCATCACAAGCATTCAAGGTGGTTGTGGGACTCCCATAACTGAGTTGTTTTCGCAGGGGTGCCAACCATCTTAAGGGGGCGCGGAACCCAGGTGCCAGCCCCATCCGTTTTGTTAGAAGCTTGTATGGTATTGTCGGTAAGAACTTCTTACAACATGCCACAGCCAACAAAACAAAACTGTAAATGCTAAAGCAGTCCCCCATATAACTGTTACGTGCATCACTGTAACCGACTCGGTCTTGCTTGAGCCTTGAGGCTGACCAGGCAACTTCTGTATGCCGATACCCGTAACCCAGGAGAAGTTCCTTCTCGTTAGCATTAACTAACCTCCAAGAAGAATCAGAAGTGAAGAGAAATTGTTGTTGGTATTGATAGGGGGGATATCTGAAACAATCACTCCTCCAACGCTCACAAGTGTCCCGATCACATTTTTGCAACCCAGCTGGACGAGGTGGTGGCGTCCGGCGCGGGATAGCCTTTAAACATGTTGGAAGCACACAGCCTCGTTCACCTCCTTCCCACCGA